CTCCCCCAGGCCCGGCGCGGGCGCTTGGCGCGTCCCGGCCCGCGGAGCGATGCCGGCAGTTTAGGATTCAAAGCCTCTCTACTCGAGTTCTCTCCTTTTTTTTTGTTTCTGTTTAAAGAGGGGGGCAAATCTCAGTGGTGGGCAGCCTGGCACGCACACACTCGCCCTCATACCCCAACAAAAGCAGATGCACTTTGACTTCTGACAGCTCTACCTCAAGCCCGAGAGAACTCCGCGGCGCTTTCCCCGCAGCCCGAGCGCGCCCAGTCGTCGTCGTCTTCTCCGTCTCCGCTTTATTTACCCACTTCCGTTCCCGCCGCTGTTCTCCGTGACCTTCACTCCTCCGCGGGCTCAGGGCAGAAGGGTCTGCAGGAGGCTCCTCTTCCTCGCCCGGGGAGGCTGAGGCGGCGCTGCTCCGCACCGGGGTCCTGGGACTCCCCGGCTTCACACTCCGCCTGGGCGCCCCCCGCCCCCAGCAGTCTCGCGTCCCCCCTTTTGATTTCCCGGTGCGGGTTTTGGCTTGCCCAGCCGTGCGCGTCTCCTCCGTCTGGAGGGCTGGGGAGCCCGTGCCGGTGGTCTTCAGGAGTCATTCCCTCGGCTCTACTTTGCCCCCCTCTCTCTCCGGGCCTCACCAGACCAAACCAAAGACCATGGTTCACTGTGCCGGCTGCAAAAGGCCCATCCTGGACCGCTTTCTCTTGAACGTGCTGGACAGGGCCTGGCACGTCAAGTGCGTCCAGTGCTGTGAATGTAAATGCAACCTGACCGAGAAGTGCTTCTCCCGGGAAGGCAAGCTCTACTGCAAGAACGACTTCTTCCGGTGAGTACTGCCCTCCCGCCTCCGGGGCGTCCTCCCCGCGGGCCCTTCCCGGCCGGCTTCGGATCAGAGGTTAGCGTGGCCCGGCGGCCGAGCCGGGAGCTGCCCCCGGAGCGACCGGCCAGGTCCCGCGGGCGCCCGCCTCTCCGCCAGCTGGCGCGCTGGGCGCCCGGGACGCGGCCCTGCTTGCGTCCCGGACACTGTGGGTCTAGGCTTGGCTTGGCTGCACGTGCCTGGGAAGGAGGCGGCTGAGCCCGCATCGGCCCAGATCCCCCGGCAAGCGTGGAAGACACAGGGCAGCCTCGGGCCTTGTGGCCTGGACTCCTGCTTTTCCCGGAGCCAAGCTCGGCAGCAACCGCATTCCCGGGGCTTCCCGGGAGTCTCGCCCTACAGGCGGCGCTTAGAAGCCGGGCTCGCTCCCGGCCACTGCCTTTTCCGACTTTGAGAGGTCTTGGCAGGAACTGCGGAGTCTTTTGCTTTGAGTGTCGGGGCCACCCGCCCTGTCAGCGGCAGGAAAGCACTCGGCCTCGAGGCCGACCCTGCATGCCCGGGATCTTCTCGAAGCCGGACCTGCCTGCAAGCGCAGACCAGGACACACTGCTGCATTGTAGCCTGTGAATTGCCCGAGTTTTTCTGCTTCCCTGGGGGCCTGCGGTTCTGTCTCGGCCCAATGCCGACTGGGACTCTGCCGCCACAGCGGCCACTTCCTTGCTGAAATCCGGGGGAAAGCCAAGACCTGGCTCGTCGGAGCCGGGAGACTTCTCCCTACTCCCTCCCTCCGTTTAGCATTTGTGTAATATTCTCTTAAACTCGATGTTTTGCCTCTCCGTCCACACAAACACAAGTCCACAGGCGCGGATGCCAACCGTAATTCCACTGTACGGGTGTGAAATCTCCCAATTTAGCTGGTGACTTGGTCTCTGCTTATTTTCAGAGTTTGTAGTGATAGTTCAGACTAAGGGACAGGGAAGAGGAGGGATCCGGGGCCGCTTTGCCCAGAGGGCCAGGATGCGCTGCCTCCAGCCCAGCTTTGGGATCTGCGGCTCGGGTTGCGGAGAGCCGAGCTCTGTGCACGCTGCCTTTGCGGGAAGAAGCGCGGGCTGAGCCTCTGCGCCGGCTGCTCGGGTCTCCTCGGCAGGGACTGGGTCATAGTCCGAGCGCGGCGAGCTGTACCCGCGCCGTGGGTCCCCGCGGCCTGGCTTGCGCGGCCCGGCGCCTGCAGCCGGCTCGGCCACTCAGCACTCCGGTTTCCGCCAGCCTGCCCGACCTTGGGCAGCTTATTAATCTAGGGCGGGACTGGACTCCGCCAACCCGCAGTCTGTGCGCGGGTCTTTTTGCCGTGAAAGACCGGCGACTCTAGGAGAGAAAAGCCACTCCGGGCTCGTTTACATGGTGCTCCAATTCGAATTTGAGTTCTCTGAATCTGATCGGAAAAGTAGTGGCCCGTCATCTTCTCCGGGGCCACCGCCTTGCCACCTTTTTCTGGTGATGCTTCTTTACTCTGGGATAACGCTGAGCGGGAGGCTGGGGCTGGGGGGCAGCTTGGGCCCCTAACTCTAACCGTGTGCCTCTCCTTCCCGACTTTTCCCCCCGTGCCCCGCACTCCTCCTGCCGTCTCACCTAACGAACCGGCATTCTGCTTCCCTTTCTTTTTTGCCTGTCTCTCCCCTCTTCTTTACCTCCATCTGTCCTCCTCTCCTTTCTCCACTTCCTACTTTCCTCGCTCCGGTTACCGTCTTTCTTCCGGCCTCTGTCTCCCCCTGCCCCTCGCCTCCCACCCCCCACCCCCGCAGGTGTTTCGGTACCAAATGCGCTGGCTGCGCGCAGGGCATCTCCCCCAGCGACCTGGTGCGGAGAGCGCGGAGCAAAGTGTTCCACCTGAACTGCTTCACCTGCATGATGTGTAACAAGCAGCTCTCCACCGGTGAGGAGCTCTACATCATCGATGAGAATAAGTTCGTCTGCAAAGAGGATTACTTAAGTAACAGCAGCGTTGCCAAAGAGAACAGCCTCCACTCGGGTGAGGCCACGAGGCCTAGATCCTTGGCCACAGGCGGGTCCTGGGGGAGGAAGGCTCGGTTAGGCCCCTGCTCACCTGTCCCTTCCCTCTTCTCAGCCACCACGGGCAGCGATCCCAGTTTGTCTCCGGATTCCCAAGACCCGTCGCAGGACGACGCCAAGGACTCGGAGAGCGCCAACGTGTCGGACAAGGAAGGGGGCAGCAACGAGAATGACGACCAGAACCTGGGCGCCAAGCGTCGGGGACCGCGCACCACCATCAAAGCCAAGCAGCTGGAGACGCTGAAGGCCGCCTTCGCTGCCACGCCGAAGCCCACGCGCCACATCCGCGAGCAGCTAGCGCAGGAGACTGGCCTCAACATGCGCGTCATTCAGGTCAGGCCCGTCGGCGCCCTCTGTCTCTGAGAGGCCACGTGAGAGAGCCCAGAGTCTAGAGGGAAGTGAGTGGTGGAGGCTGGAGGGAATGCCCAGTCACACCCCGACCCTGCCGGACTTTGGAAACGCCGCCTGATGCGTGGTGCACATGGAAGTCCCTCTTCTTCTATCCACCCCTACATGGGTGATAGTGGCAGGGAGGAGTGGGAGCTCAGAACTCAGCATGGGGCTGGAGAAGGAGCACTGTTGAACAAAGCTACAAGGGTTGGGACCTCCTCTCTGCATATACCCCACCCCCACCTCAGTGGGAGATTGGAGAGGCCTCTGAGACCACTGAAGTCAATCAGTTCCTCTGGTTTCTGCAAAAAGTGATCTCCAAGTCCCTAACCCAAACTTTGTGGGTCTCTTGCCCCAGTTAGACAAGCCCCAGATCAGGGACTTACCCTCCAAAGAGAAGTGGTTTTTCTCTGGGAGTCAGTCCTGCCTCCAGAGGTCCAGAGTGGAATGGGGAGGAGAGGCAGGAGGGGAGGCCACATGGAGGCAGCTGGGCTTGTGCCTTGGAAAGTGAGACTGCATGAGTTTGGGGTTTGCTAGAGTCTCTGACTCAACCCTAGGTGTCCCTCATGGTGCCTGGAGGCTCTGTGAGAGTGTGTGTGCATGTGTGTGCAGGTGGCCCTCTGGGAAGCCCTGAGGCCTGTGGGAATCCATGCAAACCTGTGTGCATGAATGGGAGGTTGTGTGCCTGTGTCACCGTGAGATGCTGTGGATAATATGTTTGGCACTGTGAGATTGTGCATGAGTGTGAAAGGATATTGTGGGGTTTGGTGTCACTATCATTGGAAGCCTGTGTCTGGGTCTCTGTCACTATCATGGTGGGAGAAGACACTGCAACGGACAGTGAAATGGAAGCTTAGTGTGTGCCTGACACTGTTTCAGAGAGGTTTAGTGTTTGTGCACAGCCCCCAGAAGCTGTAACTGTGATAGTGTAACTGTTAAAACACAGCTAGACCCCAATTGCCTCCCCTGGGACAGGGCAGACTGCCTAAGTCTCCCTGTCAAAATCATGCTCACCATTGGCTCAGGGTCCGCCCTTGCGTGGTCCTACTCAGAGAACCACCACTACCCCTACTACCCCCCCACACACAGCCCAGGCGGCCAGCTGGGTGGTGGTGGGGTGAGGGGTTAGGCCAGCAGCCCCTGGGGTCGGGGAGAAAAGTCTCGTGGCCTCACCCCGCGCGCGTGTGCTTCAGGTCTGGTTCCAGAACCGGCGCTCCAAGGAGCGGAGGATGAAGCAGCTGAGCGCGCTGGGCGCCAGGCGCCATGCCTTCTTCCGCAGTCCGCGCCGGATGCGGCCGCTTGTGGACCGCCTGGAGCCGGGCGAGCTCATCCCCAACGGCCCCTTCTCCTTCTACGGAGGTGGGTGTGCGGCCCAGCGGCGGGGCGCGGCCGGGTCGGGACTGGCTTCGCTGGAAGCGGGTGGCAGCACGGGAGGCACTCTTCGCTCTCTGTAAAGAAGTGGGGAGTCAGGGATAGGAGGGCGAAGGATGGGGAGCAAACCTAGGGGAGGAGGTGGGAGGCTGAATGGGAGACTGGGTAGGGAGGCGGCGGCTCTGGGGTTTGACCCTAGCCTTTTCCCTGCTCCCGGGCCGCTAGGATGCCCCACAGGCGGCTTCTTCCCCGCGTGGCCCTCCTCAGCCCGCTCCAGGGCGCGCCTTCCCGCCCTTCGCGTCCCCCCACTCCCACGCTCGACCCAGGGGCGGGCTGTGACATCCTCCTCTCCACCGCTCCGCAGATTACCAGAGCGAGTACTATGGTCCCGGGGGCAACTACGACTTCTTCCCGCAAGGCCCCCCGTCCTCGCAGGCCCAGACGCCCGTGGACCTCCCCTTCGTGCCGTCGTCTGGGCCGTCCGGGACGCCTCTGGGTGGCCTGGAGCACCCGCTGCCGGGCCACCACCCGTCAAGCGAGGCACAGCGGTTCACCGACATCCTGGCGCATCCCCCGGGGGACTCGCCCAGCCCCGAGCCCAGCCTACCCGGGTCTCTGCACTCCATGTCGGCTGAGGTCTTCGGACCCAGCCCGCCCTTTTCGTCGCTGTCGGTCAACGGCGGGGCGAGCTACGGGAACCACCTGTCTCACCCTCCCGAAATGAACGAGGCGGCCGTGTGGTAGCGGGGTCTCGCACGGTCCGCGGAGTTCGTGGTTGTACAGAAATGAACTTTTATTTAAGAAAAATAGAAAAAAGAAAAAAAACATAAGCAAGTCCCCCTTTCCTCTGGTCTCGAGAACCATTTCTCCGTCTGGGGAAACCGGATGGGAACGGGGAACACGAAATAGGCTCCAAGTCCTCCTGGAGGTGGGACTGGGATCCGCGCACTGGCTGGCAAGGTGCAGAACTTGGGTTCCCCAAGGGAAATGCAGACCTCTCCTACCTCCCACTGGGACCCGGATCCGCGGACTGACCCCGCGGGCGCGTGCGCCTGGCAGGCGAGTGGCGACAAGATCTCCGCGGCGGCCGCAGGCGCGCACAGCCATTGGAGATGCCAGGAGCCGTGGGGAGGGAGACCGCGCGGCGCAGCTGGGAGTGGGAGGTGGAGTGGCCGGGACGCGCCCGGTCGGCCAGGAGGGTTCTAGCTCTGGGATGTCCCTTCCTAGCGTTGTCTCAGAGTTCAGCAACAGCGACCACAAACTCTTATAGCTTCAGAAACGCCGACCTGCTGTGCATCAGGTGGGACTATATATATATATTTTTTGTCTATCTGGGTTTTTTTGTTTTTGTTTTTGCCAAAATTGCAAGATTCTAAAATGTAAAGCCCTCAGTATCAACTCTTCTACCTTCACAAAACCACACACACACACACACACACACACACACACACACACACACACACACACACACGCAGACACACTCAATAGGATGGTCTCCAGCCAGACCTCTCATTAAAATGACTCGAACATCAGCTGTACAAGAAAAGTATTCTACCTTCACACACAAAAAATTAAAAAGACTATTGAACTAAAAACAGTCAACTGTTTACGTATAATGTTAAATTCAGGAGTTCAGTGTTTTACTAATATATCCTGTTTTGAAGCCTCTTGTTCAAAAATGAAATGTTTTGAGCAATCAACCAAAATTGTTCCTTTTCTTTTCCTGTAGATGTTCTGACAGATGTGCAGGGCTTTGGGCTCACTGTGCTAGTATGTAAAAAGGTGTTGTTTACACAAGGCAAAGAGAAAACATGCTATCCAGACAGTTGCCAAATAGAATAATTATAGCACAAATACTGTAAAGGTGCCTGGCACCAGCAACCTGAGAAAGTGTTAAAAAAAAAAAAAGTATTACAAGGTTTAAAAAAGAAACATCTTTGCTAATTTTTGTCCTGTTGAACATTCATGAAATTGTTAATATGACTTATATAGACCCACACAGGTTTTATTTTTGTGTCTTTAAAATAAAAGTCCAAAATATTTAAATTTTATGGTCAAATATGCAGTTAACAGCTGCTACTTTTTTCTTTATATATTAAATTTCTCATATGTCTTTTATTGTTCTAATAAACCTAAGCTTGTGTGACCTCCAGTGCATATTAGACCATTCACTGTATGAAAGAAAACATGTTGAATAAATTTGTGAGTTTTTAATAAAAATAGAAAATCTGATGTTTAGATAATTGGTGTGTTATTTGATGTTTCAACAACTAGAGGGGAGTCCTGATGGGAAACTGAATGGGCCCTTAGAAGCCAGGAGGAAGAGAGGATTGAGATGATCTATTTTTGTCTGGGCAGTGGCTGAAACCTTTTGCTAATGCCAGCCAAGCTTTTTTCCGTGCCTTCCTGCTGTCATTAGCTACAGATTTGCATTCTGTGGATTTAACTGATACAATTGAAGAGATGTTTGCTGATAAGTTAATATAGAATTTGAAATAGAAATCAAATCCATGGCTAAAAAACGAGTGGTCTGGGTCTGTGATGAGGTGTGAGACCTGAAACATTCTTTCTCTCCCTATCCCTGCCCACACACAACCAGGCTTGTGAATGTCAGATACTTGTAAATATATAGTTAGAGGTAGTCCTTTTCAGTTTCAATTCATTTCTCATAGATAATCCTGCTTTCTAATTTGGTGGTTTGAAAGATAATGTAAAATGAATGTACAGTACTGCTAGAAATGAAATACTTTAATCCCTTTCACAGAACTGATATGAAATTGTTGTTTTATGGTATTTGTTACATTTGAAGTTCCCCAGAAGGAAAACTATTTTGCCTGGCACAAAATACATATTAAGTTTCTCTGAAAGATGAACAAAAATAACTAATATAGAAATCAAATTCCAGCTGGGAGTTGCCAATAGGTTCTGAAAAGTAGTTCAATCCCTTTCAAGCCTTCATTAGACTTGGAAGAAATTTGAATATTTTATCTACGATGAGATTCTCGTGTGAGCGTATGTGTTTTAATGCCAGATGATATTAGAGTTCCAGAATTTCTTTTCCATATCACCTAGATTTCAGCCTGGATTATTTATTTCCATTTGTTTTTAAAGCAAATGTTTTTACATTAAATGGTATGTAATTTCCAGTGCTGTTTTCCTATTTTGTTAAGACACAACCAAGTTGATCTTTCCCGCAGAGAAGGCTTTAAAATAAGCAATATTTCACTGCATCTGTATGATAGCTTATCTAATGGAGGGGACTGTCAGGGGAGGAATCTAGCAGTGTTCTTTCAGAAATAAAAATTTATGAAATACAGGGGAGACTTTGGAAACTCCTAGCCTCCGTATGCAGGACATTTCTTTATCCGCTTTGTATGCAATCACTGGATCGGCTTGTTTTTGCCCTCTTAGCATTTATATACATTAAATCATAGCTACTTTATTCATTATAGCCAACGCCTGCCCCTCTTTAAAGACATTCATTTAACTGAACTGTGCTCATTGGGAAGCTGCATTTTTCTATCAAGGCTGCTGAATTATTTAGCAGCTTTACTGTGGAATCAGGGTGTTGAGAAGACGCGTTTCGGAGTTGGGCACACGGTGTGGACTCAGTTCTTCTCTCCAACTCCATGGCAGTAGCGCAGTCCCCTCGGCGCTGCATTCTGAATCCTGGCGAAAACCCGAACAGGTGGCAAGGCTTAGCAGTCACGTTCGGAGCTGAAGGTCCCAGAGGAGGAGGTCCAGGAATGTCCGGGGCCGTCCCCTTCCCATCGATGCCAAGCTGCCTACCTCTGGCCACGAGGAGCGGGGAAGCGCGGCACGATTCCCACGCGGAGCTCTTGCGAGGGGCGATGGCCGGAGGGAAGCGTCACCGGGGCCCTTTTGCGCCCAGGAGAGCAGCCTCGTCCGACTCCGGCCAGGCTTGGCAGCCTGGTTTCTCTCCGCGGCCATCTTAAAGCCACCACCTCTGCGCCTCCCCCCACCTGCCCTCAGGGTTCCAGCGGCGGGCCGGCCGTCTGCTCCGGCGAGGAGCCCAAAGCTCACCCACCCAACTTCCCCAAGCTGGCTGAGGCTGGGGAGCCGCTCTGGGGACTGGACATGGTGAGGAAGGCGGATGCATGGAGAGCAAGGGCAGGGAGTACCAGGGGCTGGGACCTTGGGGTTGGTGGTGTCTGAGAAGACAGGCAGTTGACCTGGCTTTTCTAAACTCCTGAAACTCCAGGTCAAGTGAACGGACAACTGTTTGGGGCAATTGAGGAGGGAGGCAGTCTAATGTCACTCCTGCTCATCCTCTGCTACTTCTACATCTGCCTGCCAGTTTGCAGCCCTTAGCAGACAGAGGGCTTGTGAACTGGGAGCCCCTCCAGCCTTCCCTGGAGAGGACTGTTCTGTTTAGGGGACTGGCCACTTTAATTCTTTCTGTTCCTCTCATCTATTCCCACCTCTAGAGCAGGCAGAGGGTGAAATTCCCTCTAGAGAGGTATAATCTTTGAACTATCCCCTCCCATAGTCCACCCTCCATCTCCATCCCTGTCCCCATCAGGAAGCCTCTCCCCTACCATTTCAAGACACTGGAATGATAGTAGGAAGGGCTCCTAAAGAGAGTATTTGAGAGTTTGCTCCCAGGTTGTGGATCTCAACTTGTCTCAGTTGCATCCTAAGTCCTAGAATTCTTTCCTCTCCTCCACTCCTGGTGTTCCCTCTCTACCTCCAGGATGGGATAAGAAAGCAGGAGAAGCATTTGGGGGGCTCTGGGAAGTGTGTGACAGGAGTGGTCTTGCTTCCTTGCTAAAATGGCTTCCCAAGTCAATAAGGACCAGGACAGGGAACGGAGAGTCGGTAAACAGGTCTACAGCATTTTCTGCCAAGTGTTTGCCTAGCACAGCCCCCAAATTGGCCAGCAGTGTCCTGTTTACATGACAGCCTAGAGGTGGTCTCTGTACTGCTGTGAAGAGGGCAGTGACTCCCTCTCCCTTTTCTTCTCTTTACCTCAAAGGCCAGGTTTCTAAGCATTATTAGTACCCAAAATAGCAAGGGAAGACGACTGGGCTAGGAGAAACTAGAGGAGTCCTTTTCTGAATGTGGGGTTGGAGAAACATTTTTGTGCTTTGAAGACCAGGGCAGGCATCTTGCTGAGGTCCAAAGAACATACTTTTGCTCTGGAGGCCCAGATGCAAGCATAGGACTACAATTATAGAGGATATGTTTAATAAAACAACAATAAACTTTCCCTAGCCTGAGTTCTCTTATGGCTGGTAAGATGCAGTTTTCTGTGCCTGAGTACCTTGCCTAGCCTGGCATTCTTAACTTCCATGTCTGAGGGAGTTTACCCAAAGACAGATTCTCCTTCCTCTGTAGCCCAGGTTATCTTCATTCTTCAAGAGCCACCTACTCCAGGCAAGTGGGACAGGCTCCACTAGTCCTGTCCTCTCATTGCTCTTGACCCTGAGGGCATGTGAAGATTGTGAAAGTCAGGGATCCTCCCTTCCCTTGGATTCCTCAGGATACACTGAGGAGCTGAGGGTTCCCAGTTGTTCAGCTGTGGATCCAACTGGCCTGGACTGTGCCCAAGAAGGGGTACTGCCACGGTGTACCACCAGCATCTCTTTTCTGGACCCTTTTGAAGTAGTTTCTGTTTAGAGGGTTCTAGGTCTCTATGAGTGACTTCCAGCAGATACTGGAAGGATATTCCACTTTGCACTCACACTTATCATTCCTTACTGCAGTTCCTGTTGACATGTTTGTCTGGCCCTCCTAGGCTGGTCACTGTGGGGAGAGACTCTAACTTACTCATTCTGTATCTTATCTAGCAGTGCCTGCCACATAGTGGGCAGTCAGGGAATGCTTGATGAAGGAAAGAGAATGTAAAGGGATTGTGTCTTTCCATGTGCCTGGGTGCAATTAAATTTATCCTGTTAAGTCTTTGTATTTTGAGTCTACCTTTCTAACGGTAGACTTGAATTTTTCTGCATTTGTGCACCAGCTTCATTCAGAACAGCAAAGATATCATACCGAGGGGCGCGCCATAGAGTAACCCCACCCCACCACCTTTTCCCTGCGCAGGCAAGACTGCTTGGAGAAGCTACAGAAAAGATCTTTATGCCCAGCCATAGCGATTCCTAAGTATTCCTATTAATAAAGACGGCAGCAGTTGGCTGCACACTCACACATGCATCTCCCTGACGCAGGACTCCGAAATCCCGGCGGCCGAAGGGCAGGAGGCATGTGCCCGGCCCCTAAATTGTGCAGTGCCAAACCTGTTTTGAGTCCCAGTCTCTGTGTACTCGCGGTCTGAACAGCTTACCCTTCACTCCCTCCTCTTCCCAAATCAGAAACCGTGGGCCACGGCGATACTACGCTTTATTCCTAGCGAATCTCGCACACATCTTAAAGCATACTTCTTGCAAAGAACACTGGCCGCGCGCATCTCAGTCTCCGCTCAGCGCCAGAGGCGGTCACGCGCCCTTGCGCGCTCCCGCGCTGCCCTACACCTCGCGGCAGCGCACGCGCACTCGCAATCGCACGGCTACAATCCCTTAAACCTTCTGCGCGCTTCCGCCTGCATCCTAGCAACGACCGCAGTGAGGCGCAGGCCCCGCCCCCTCCCCCCGGGCGCCTACCGGAAGTTGCCGGCGCGGAGCTGAACGCCGGCCTCCGCGCGGTCCCCGGCTGTGTGTCTGCGAGTAGTGTCGGGACGGGAGGTCCCGGCCAGCAGAGAGCGTCCGGGCCGGGGAGGGGTGGGTCGCACATTCACGTGCGCGGCGCGGACCGAGAGCTGGTGACGATGGCTGGACCGCCTCAGCCCCTGGCGCTGCAGCTGCAAGAGTTGCTGAATCCGCGACCGAGCGAGGCGGATCCGGAGGCCGACCCAGAGGAGGGTGAGCCCTGACTAGGGCAGGCCACGTGCGGAGCTGTAGGCCCGGCCCGGGGCATCCGGGGGCGGCGTGTGGGGGCGTCTGCGAGGCCGTCGGGCCTACTTTCCTTCCCTGTGCGCAGAGGAAAATTGTCTCCCGCGAGGGTGGCTCCCCGGCTCGGAAGGAGGGCTTCGGCTTCTTTTGAGACGCACTCTAAACTTGGTGCTCGGGTCAGTGGGCGGGCGGACCTTACTGAAGACGCGGGCTAGGAGCTGGCCTTTGGGTTAACTTGGTCGAGGGCTGTTGGAGAGGGCCGAAGAATCTGGTGGCAGGTTGGAAATTATCTTTCAGGATGCCCTCACAGGTATTGCGTTAGAAAGGGGCAGGAGGAAGTTCCATCAGTTTTGTTTGGTTTTGTTTGGAGTAACTAATTTGGAAGGAAAAAGTGGGATTCTCTGATGCTGACTAAGCCTTTTTAGGTCTCAAGACACTTGTTCAGGGTATGACGACTGAGACTGCTATTCTGTGAACTGATGCTTAAAGTCTAGCTGGTAGTAATCCTGTTTTAGACCTGAGTCAAAGAGGTATGAGGAAGGGAGAATAAGGAGGGATAAATGTAAGTGCTGAGCCGTGTCTTAGGAATCTCGACGGAAGGAAATGGGGGCTGTTTACTCAGGATAAGTGAAGAAAACTCCCCGAGGGGTGGGAAGGAGTGAGGATGGAACATGACGGATGATTTAAGTTATTGGAGCGACTGTCAAACATGGAAGGGGAATTAGACTGGTTTTGTGATCCAAAGCATAGAAATATACCCCACTAGTAGATGCAGGGAGTCAGCTTTCTGTTCAGAAACAGCAGGAAGACAGTATTGTACTTTGGTAGGTAATGAGTTTTCTATTCCAGGAAGTTGGTGGAGATTTTGTATAGGACAGTCAGGTATGAGTTGAACGGGTTGAGCAGGGTTCCTCTTAAAGTTCCTTCTAACCTGGAGATTCTGATTACTTTTTCTCTGTCTCTCAACAGCCACTGCTGCCAGAGTGATTGACAAGTTTGATGAAGGGGAAGATGGGGAAGGTGATTTCCTGGCAGTGGGTAGCATTAGAAAACTGGCATCGGCCTCCCTCTTGGACACAGACAAAAGGTATTCCGGCAAGACCACCTCTAGGAAAGCTTGGGAGGAAGACAATTGGGAGCAGACTCTGCTGAGTTCATCTGGTGAGTAGACATTTTTGCATGGAACCCTTTCTTTCCTAATGTTTTAGGATTAAAATCCTCTCCTCCCCTACCCCATGAGTTCTGCAAGATAGGCTGTGTGCCCATATCTAATATCTTAGATATGGTTTGGTATTAGAAAGAACCTTAGAGCTTGTTTCATTTTGCTTCATAAGAAATCTAAAGACAAAAGCGATTAAGTTGCTGTACTCTGTATGTTCAGACTCATATTTCACTCTAAAGCAGAAGTGAAAAGAGAAGGCATTAGCTGGGCGTGGTAGAGCACACCTGTAATTCCAGCTACTGGGAAGGCTGAGGCGGAAGGATCGCCGGAGCCCAGCAGGTTGAGGCTGCGGTGGCCGGGAGCAGCCACTGCACTCTAGTCTGGGTGACAGAGTGAGACTCCAACTCAGAAAAAAAAAGAGAAGGCAGTACATTTTGGATATAGAAGAGGGCTATGTGTTGAAAAACATTGTGTCTGATGAGCATACTACTCTTGACTTGGTTTTTCAGGTCCTGAGTTGAGTCACTGTATGTTAGTTTTTTATGAAGCTCATTTTTTGCCGTTGTAAAAACAATAATCCTTCTTCCCTGCAAGAGATCTAGGAGGATGTGAGTTTCTAGTTTTAAAGAATTGTAAGTTTCTCAAAGTGGAAGGAGCTGGATTTGGTGATTATTGAGAGAATGCTGTTTGTTTCCTTTAGAGAGGTCGGGGTGTCATGTTGAGAATCCACAGATGATTTAAAAGGAACTATCTTCCAGGTTATGATATCTATGATTTAGACCTTGATGTAGTTCTGGGAGCTCCTGATAAGTTCATTTCACATTCTTTGCCACGAGACTGATAAAGTGACCAATCATCAGACAAATATGATAATGTTTACTGAGCTCTTGCCATGTGTCAGGCACTGTGTTTAGGTCTGTAATTTAAGTTCTAAGAATCTGGGGCACAGTCCTCAAAAAATGTTACCACCATTATTATTACATGTATTATCTCATTTAATTCTCCCAAAAGCCCAGTAAGTTGTTATTACTTATCCCCATTTTATAGATAAGGACATTGAGGGACAAATTGGTTAAGTATCTTGATCAAGGTCATACAGCTAGTGAGTGAAGAGCCAGGATTCAAATGAAGGTAGTCTGACTTCAAGATCTACACTCTTTTTTTTGAGTTGGAGTCTCACTCTGTCGCCCAGACTGGAGTGCAGTGGCTGCTCCCGGCCTCGACCTGCTGGGCTCTGGTGATCCTTTCGCCTCAGCCTTTCAAGTAGCTGGAACTACAGGTGCACACTACCATGCCCAGCTAATTTTTTGATTTACTGTAGAGATGAGGTCTCGCCAAGTTGCCCAGGCGGGTCTCAAACCCGCGGGCTCAGGCAATCCACTCACCTCAGCCTCACAAAGCGCGGGATTACAGGTGGAGCCACCGAGCTGGCTGATCTACACTCTTAATGACTACTTTGTAATAATGTTTCTTAATCTGAGAAATGGCATACATTTAAATAATTTAAAGGATTATTTCTGTTTACTGTTTTTGCGTTTAGTTTTTGTATTTTTGCCAGTTTTGTTTCTTATAAATTTGTACATGTATCTCTAAAGAAGTATAAAAGACCCATTACACTTTCTTACATCTTTATTTTATTGAAGAAAGCTGTTGGAAACTGGTCCCTGTATCTAGTAATCATGCTTGCAGTACATGGGACTTTTATGTTCTGCTTTGGAATAGATTGGATAGACAGTACAAACCTCTGAATATCAGGTGATACCCTAAGCATAAGTAAAAACATGAGCTCTCTGTCTGACTTCAAGATCTACACTCTTTTTTTTGAGTTGGAGTCTCACTCTGTCGCCCAGACTGGAGTGCAGTGGCTGCTCCCGGCCACTGCAGCCTCGACCTGCTGGGCTCTGGTGATCCTTTCGCCTCAGCCTTTCAAATAGCTGGAACTACAGGTGCACACTACCATGCCCAGCTAATTTTTTGATTTACTGTAGAGATGAGGTCTCGCCAAGTTGCCCAGGCGGGTCTTGAATTTTGTAGGATCAAAATTCAAACTCAGGACTCTTCCTGATATGGTCCCTGAGCTCTTTAGTTTCATTTCCCACCACTTCCTTGTGATTTCTTCATTCTAGTACTGGTTTTTGTTTTTCTTCGCCCTTCTCTGTCTGATCCTTATGCTTCATAAGTAAAATTATAATGTCTTCTCCACATGAAGCCATTACTCACCTTTCCAGGAGAGTTAGGTGGTTTCTTCTCTGTATGCTAATGACATTGTAATGTAATTATTGGTATGCATATCTACCACTCCCACCAGACTGAACTCCTCCTTGTAGGTATTAAGTTCTATTTGCCTTTCCTTAGGTGGGCTCCTAAGGAGTGCTTCATAAGTATTTAGTAAATAGGGTATATGGATGTGGTATAGATTATACCTTTTTTTGTTCAGATGCAGGTTTAGGGAACCTGGTAATTCCCAAACACATAGTAATTCCCAAACACATAGTTGAAATTTTACTATGCTTCAAGGCCCAGACCAAATGCTACCTCTTCCTTAAGCCTTGCTTAAATGTTTACCCTGTAGTTAAAATTTCTCCCTCTTCTTGGTTATTGAAATTTTGTCAAAGCACTTTTAATTCTTCCTTGAACTGTAGTTTTTCTGAGTCTGTCTTTCTCACTAGAATCTTTTGTTACAGTAGGATCCATGTTCTGTTTAGCTTTGCTTCCCTCTTAGCATTTTAGAGATTGTAGATTTGTGATATATATTTGTTGATTTGAGTTGAGTGCAGTAATACATTTTTTCCCCGATAGAGGCATAGTGCTTTAGTTGAAATGAAAAATATGACCTGGCATTTTTCTCCAGGTAATACCCGTTTTTCTTTCTTCCCTCTCTTCTTCAGATGAGGAAATATCCGATGAGGAAGGGTCTGGAGATGGACATTCAGAAGACCTGGTTCTGGAGGGATCTGATGTGGAAGACCTGAGTGCTGCTGAGGAACAGAAGTGTGGTGATGACAGTGAGAGCAGTCTGGCCTGGAGAGAGAAGAGCAGAAGCCATTCTGCAAAAGCACCTGACTTCAGTGTCCAGAGCATCAGTGACTTTGAGAAATTTACTGAGGGAATGGATGACCTTGGGAGCAGTGAGGAGGAGGACGATGAAGTGGAGAGTGGCATGGAAGAAGGAGATACTGAGGAAGACTTGGAGGGTAAGAGTGAGGAAGACAGGGCGGCAGACAGGAACAGTGAGGATGATGTGGTGATGACCTTCTCCAGTGTCAAAGTTTCCGAGGAAGTGGAGAAAGGGAGAGCCGTGAAGAACCAGATAGGTTTGTACCTGGTTTTACTCATTGCCTGTTTTTCCAAGTATCTGCATTTGATCTACTTTTTGTTTGTTTTTGGCTGTTCTGTCTCTCTTGTGTCCTTCCAATTAGTTTGTGACATGCCCCACTTACCTAGAGGCCTAAAGCCCCATTCCTCTATGCTCAGCCAGCCATTTCCGCACTGAGCTGCTTAGCTGGATCTGCTCTACTACTTCTGGCAACTGTGGAAGATTGAGGAGAAAAGCATTTTCTTCTCTCCTTGGGCTTTTTTTAGCATTCCTGTTCTCATGTAGCAAATATTTGCTTTGTATATACTGAATCTGTTTTCTGTATTAGAGAGTGTCTCCATGGCATTTAATAAAACTGATAAAGCTGTGGTGCTAGAAACTGGTATGGTTTCCTATTTCCTGTTCTTCCCCACTATCCCCACTGTGCCCTCTAGTCTCCCCAACCCCCTCTATGCACTTGTAAGATTTTCTAATGGAGGAATGGGACTCTTCTTTCTCAGCACTGTGGGACCAGCTCTTGGAAGGAAGGATCAAACTACAGAAAGCTCTGTTGATCACCAACCAACTTCCTCAACCAGACGTTTTCCCAGTTTTCAAGGACCAAGGTGGCTCAGAATTTGCCAGCACCTTAAAAAATAGTAAGAATACTTAATGCCCTACTGGGATACTTAAAACCACTTTTGTCAAAGGACAATAACTTTGATTGAAATGGATTGTACTTGAGTTGTGTCTATTTTGCTTTCTTCTCACCTGCCCTCACTCTCCCTTCCTATCTCCTTGGCTTTCTGAGTTACTTTTTTTTTTTTTGAGTCAGGGTCTCACTCTGTCGTCCAGGCCAGATTGCAGTGGCATACTCATGGCCACCACTGCAGCCTCAACCTGCTAGGCTCAGGCATTCCTTCTGCCTCAGTCTTCCCAGTAGCTGGAACTACAGGTGTGCACCACCATGCCCAGCTAATTTTTATTTATTTATTTATTGTGGAGACGAGATCTCGCCAAGTTGCCCGTGCTGGTCTCAAACCACTGGGCTCTGGTAATTCTCTTGCCTCCACTTCCCAAAGTGCTGGGATTATAGACATGGGCCACTGTGCCCAGCATGAGGTACTTCTTTAAAGTTCAAGGAACTCTGCATGAAAACCTACTGTTATAGACAACAAGGACAGAATGAATGACTAAACTCAGTTCATTTAAGTTGGTTGTATCATGTGCTTAAGAATGCCTTCTTTTGTTTGAGAGGTTTTTATTTATTTGTTTTTGTTTTTGTGGTTTTTTTGGGACAGGGTCTCGCTCTGTCGCCCAGGATGGGGTACAGTGGTATGATCATAGCTCACTGCAGCCTCAAACTCCTGGGCTCACCCATCCTCCTGCTTTAGGTAGCTAGGGCTACAGGCATACGCCACCACGCCCAGCTAGTTAAAAAAATTTTTTTAGAGATGGTTCTTGCTATGTTGCACAAACTGGTCTTAAATCCCTGGCCTCAAGTGATCTTCCTGCCTCAGCTTCCCAAAGTGCTGGGATTACAGGTGTGAGCCACTGAGCTCTGCCCTGCTTGGGAGGGTTTTAGAGCAAAGTGCTAAGATGATCTTATTTATATCTTTCTTTGGGTGGCGTAGAGTGAGGAGAGTTGATGGACTGCAGAAGGAGGAACAATTTTTAGAAGAGAACTACTGAGCTATAAAGTCAAATAATTCTAGAAGAAAAAAAGAATTTAGAGATTATTTGGTTTGCTACTCCCTTATTTTACCCAAAGGCACAGAGTTTGTTCATGCGTGACAGAAAGCTCCACCTTTTCTGCCTTACGATCTGGGCGTCTTCCTTCTGTACCACACTGCTTCCTTTGTGCTTCCTGCTTGTGTGCCCAATGGCACCAAAGGGCTGGGAGAGGGAGATTTGGGGTGAGTGCACTGTGGTTGGATCACTATTTATTTTTTTTGAGTTGGAGTCTCACTCCACCGCCTAGGCCGGAGTACAGTGGCACACTCACAGCCACCCCAGCGTCGATCTGCTGGACTCCAGCGATCCTTCTGCCTCAGCCTTCCAAGTAGCTGGAACTACAAGCATGCGTTACCATGCCTGGCTAATTTTTTACTTATTGTAGAGACGAGGTCTCTGCCAAGTTGCCCTGGCTGGTCTTGAACCTGCGGGCTCAGGCAATTCACTTGCCTCGACCTTCCAAAGTGCTGGGTTTACAGGCTAAGCCACTGAGCCCGGCCTGGAATCACTATTTCTTATTTGCATGTTTAGTGTTTTCATTTGCTCTCTAAAACTTTTTATAGTATCGTGGAGTTGGAGTTGGAAGGGACCTGAGGACATTGATTGGGTGTCTGTCTCTAGGTAGAACCACGTTAAGCCATTCAAGATAAATGCGTAGTATTTCTGGGGTAAGGAATCCTGTGAACATTTCTTGTAGGAAACTACCTGGCTTAATTAGCAGTGACTTCCTAGAGTCCAGTTTTTAAGTTTTGTGTCCTGCCATACTTGAAGTCTGTTTACTATGTGAAAAGACTTGCGTAATCCTCCCAGGAACCATGTATAATCTGTGAGAGCTGGTCTTTTATATCTCTTCTCCCATCTTTGCCTCTTTCCTCCCTTAAATGGATGATACATTGATGGTTTTCAATTTTTTTTTTTTTTTTGAGATTTTTTGGAGCACTTCTCTGTTATTTTCAATGCCCCAGTACCCTAATTCCCGGTATGCTTTTGAAATGAGACCTAGACTGCTCTTGATTAAATGTTTCATAATAAAGCTTTTTCTGTTTTGTTGCTCATTATTATTCTTGCTTGAGCCTTTTCCATTTTTTAAAATTCATCTTAAAATATAGCTATTTTAAGGGTTAGTCAGTTTCCAATATAATGGCTATATGCTCATTCTTGGATACCTTTTCATTTGTTTAGCCATTGTAATGTTATTCAGCTTTTATTTTGTTCTGATCATTTAAATCTGTCTTTTGTACTTAACCAGTTGTTTCTTTTCTTAACTGGTATACTTCAGTTAATCTGGCAGATATCTATTAATCTGACAGGGTGGTTTGTGGTAGAGGAGGGAGAAGAAGGAAGTTTTGTTTGGTATCACATATTCTAAGATGGGAGGGTAAGTAGTTCTTTAATAACTAGAATTTCTGTGCATCTGAAGAGTAAATAATTTTTGCTTGTTTCAATCTTCATATGGCAACATGATATAATATATTATATACATCCCTGTCTTGGTAAACAGAGTTTAGGAAAAATTTCTTAACCAGTTTATACTGTGCTCTATAGGTGTTTTGGAACATAGGCTGAATTTGTACCAACTCCAGAACAAACCCTGGAACTTACTGTCTTTAATTAAATCTCTTTTCAATTTGCTTGGTATTGCATAGTAAAGTCAAACTGCCTGGGTTTAGATTTCATCCTAGCAATGGATTAGCTATGCCACCTTGGGCAAGTTACTTAACTTCATAGTAAAATGGGGATAATACAGTTGTGAGGATTAGAGGGCATAATCAATATAAGGCATTAGCACAGTGTCGTCTGGCACATATTGTACCATAAATGTTAGGTATTAGTATTATTTTCTGCTGAAAGAGGCATTTGGCAGTGTCTAACCATGTGAACAACCACTCAATAGTTATCAGCGTAACTAACCATCATTTCTACTGTCTTTAGTTTTCTTAACTTTTTATTAGTATTTAGATTCCCTATATAGTTTTAATTAACTATTTGTTCTATAAAGTGGCAAGTGTTATAGTCTGCTAATTCTTATGATTCAGCGCTGGCCTCTTAGAACACTGTGGAGAGATGGCTAGAGATTCCTTATTTCCAAACCCAGCTACTACCTCCCTGAAGCATTTAACCTTTGCTTAAAATACTTTTCTTTGACTTTGGTGACATTACATATGCTGTTTGGGTTCTCCTACCCTTCTGATCTCTTTTCACTTTCTTTTTTATCCTCTCAATGTAAATTTCATGGCATTTGGAATCCTGTCCTCAATTTGTATTTTCTCAATATATTCCCTCCTTGGCACTGTTATTTACTCTCATAGCCCTAGCTATTGCCTAGAAAATCAACAATCTTCCATCTGTATTCTAGGCACAGTAAACTCCTGAGCACCATGCATTTGTACCCTCAGCATCCTAAACTCTGCTTTTCAGAAACTAAACAAATACCTGTCTCCTTGCTTCCCTCCCCACGCATACTTAGTCCCCAATCACATTGGTATTATATGTTGGTAATTTAAACTCTTGAACCGTGAAGTGATTGCAGAGACACCTTTTGATATTTTAGTGGGCATAAATGGTAAGAAATTAAGGGATTTTCTGTGCCCAAACCATTTCACTAGAGAGGTTAGTTTTTTCTCTTTGAGTTTCTTTTAAAAATATTTTGCAGTATTAGGAGGTAGATTTTTTTATGTTGGTGGCAATGATATGTAAGGAAGAGGGCAAGTTACTTAAGGAAATCTCAGCATGAGTTATTTGAAACTTTTCATTATGAAATACATCAAACCTGTATAAAAGTAAAATAGTACAGTGAACCCCCGTATGCCTTCCTCAGCTTAAGTGGTGGTCAACTCCAAGTTTATCATTCTTCATTTCTAGTTTTACCAATTCCCCCGATTCTTATTTATTTTGAAGCAAATGACAGACATCCTCTCATTTTATCAATAAATCTTTCAGCATATGCATCTAAAAGATAAGGTTTTTTTTTTAGTTGGAGTCTCACTCCTGGCACACTCACAGCCACCACAGCGTCGACCAGCTGGACTCTGGCGATCCTTCCCCCTCAGCTTTCCAAGTAGCCGGAACTACAGGTGTGCTACCATGCCCAGCTACTTTTGATTTATTGTAGAGATGAGATCTCACCAAGTCGCCCGGGCTCGTCTCAAACCCGCAGGCTCAGGCAGTCCACTCGCCTTGGCCTCCCAAAGTACTGGAATTACAGGCTGAGCCACTGAGCCCGGCAAAGATAAGGTTTTAAAAAATCTTAATACCATTATACCCTAAAAAACCATTAACAGCAGTTTCTTAATAAGCATGACTGATTTAGGTAAGTAAGAGAATTCAGGGAGCACTTCTGTAAAAAGCACTCTCTACTGTCTATTTCAGAGTTTGCTCTGTAGCTTTAAATGAAGTGATTAAAGAAAAGCTAAACTTCAGTCATAATAAGTTGACCTTTTTGTGAAATGCATGTTATTAATGTATTTAATGAGATGCATTACAAACTACAGTGAGCACCATGTTTCATTACAGGTCTAAAATTGACTATCATTAAAGACCTTTAATAGAAACAATGGTTAACATTTTGATATTTCCCATAAGCAAAACACCCAAGACCACAGTCTAATGTAATAGAAATACAGAGGAAGTATTAAAATTTTTTACTTGCCTAAGAGTATAAAAACAATTTTTTTGTTTTTTTGTTTTTTTTGAGTTGGAGTCACACTCCGTCGCCTAGACTGGAATGCAGTGGCATGCTCCTGGCTACTGCAGTTTCGACCTGCTGGGCTCTGGCGATCCTTACACTTCAGCCTTCCAAGTAGCTGGAACTATAGGCATGCGCTACCATGCTTGGCTAGTTTTTGATATTGTAGAGATAAGTCTCGCCAAGTTGCCGGGGTGGGTCTCGAACCCACGGACTCAGGCAATTCACTCACCTCGGCCT